AATTGAATACTACACGTAATCACAAAATATATTTTTGTGTCATATGAAAATTTCCACYAGATTACTGTACAGTAATACTGTAATAACGTTATACTGATAACTGTAGATATGACATTATTATTTTTCACTTCATAAGTATAGAGAGAAATAAATTAATATTTTTAGAACTTTTTCAGTCACTTATAAGTCAAAACTATTTAAATTTATAATTCTATAATACATTGTACACTATTAATATGATATTAACCTTTTGCTAACCTCAATCAAAMATGTCTTCGAGAATGGAGATTAATACAAAATAACAAATTAAATTAAATTAAATCCTCCACCCTCCCTTGGATGCAAGATATGTCGCTCCCACGCAGACATCAAATCATCATCGACAGACTACAAATTGGCCACACATTATACACTCATGAGCTTTTAATGAACAAATAGGAACAACGGATATGCACCTCATGTAACACCGCGATCACAGTAAAACATCTTTTAACTGAATGCCTCTCACAAAAGACGGCAGATACAAACTGATGCTCCCCAACAATTCATTTGAAATACTTGCACCAAACAAAGAGAGAACATCATCAATATTTTAATTCCTCAAAGAGACCAACCTTAAAATATAATAGCATTAGCAAAACATAAAATATCACACAAAATGTAAAAATATTTCTCTTAAAATGTATTGTATTAATTTTCCACCTATTTACAATTTATTATTTTGTAAAAATTAATTAAGCTAAATATGTATTTAGAAACACCAATAACCCCGGTARTTAAGGTGTATATTTTGTTAAATGAAAAAAAATATATTTACTTTTTATAGAACGAATTTTTTATTTTTAAAAATAATATTACATTAACAAAATTAATATTTTACAAATGGTTTGAGAAAAAATTAATAAAATATAGATTTTAATGAAATATTCCAACCAAAATTACATCTAAACTTAACCTCATTTTTTTTTCACAAAATATGTGTTGATTTTTATTTTTAACGTGGAAAACTAAATACATTTTTATCAATATCAAAAATAAAAATGAACTAAAACTATTCCAAAACTACAATCGTGCAAATTAAAATTACTGTCCATAAAATCATAACAAAAATAGTTTACTTTACTTACAGTTTACATCTAGATTGCCATATAGAAAAATCAGCGCAGTAATAACCAAATTCCTGTCAAACATTTTTGATTGAAATTCTCGACAGCAAATTATTTCAACGTTTATTTTCGGTGCAGCCCTCGCCTGATTCATTCGTTTCAAACGCCATTCCCGTGTAATGAATTAGGYCCCCTAAAAGACATAGATAAATACTAAAAATAAGTATGTTTGAATCTTTTAACTATGAATTATAGGCATATGGCTAAATATATTGTTTTTACTATATTGTTTATTTTGATGAACAATATTATTGAAACATAATATATTACATTTGTATCCTAGTCATGCATAATATGGAATGTCCAAAATCGTTATTGCCAATATAACTAATAACGGTATTAATAAATTACTATTTAAATACAACTTTATGTACATATTATTTGTATACAATGTTTATCTCACGTAAAAAATTGAAAATCAAATAAATAAACTGTAAACAATACGAAAATATTAAATTGTTTTCTTCTAACACTGATCCAACATCATCACAGTAGGTAAGTAATAATGTGACGTACCATTAAACGTTGCTTAAATAATTAAATGTTTATATTATCATTACGCCGTAACGTATATCCACCATAACGTACGTCTCATGGAACAGAATTATATGGTTAACACAGCAACTTGTAAGGTTAATTGTATGGGAAAACTGAATAGAGTGATTTTTTTTAAAAACATTCACGGTGATAAATGTTTATCCCCAAAACGAAGACTTTATTTAGTTGGTTGGTATATTATCATTATGCATTTTCGGCCGATACAAATCTAGAAACATGCCTAACCTACTCTTTGTGTTTATTAATTTATCATAAGTATATCTAATATGAATGTATTACTATACAGTATACCTACTGAATTATTAAAAATAAATGTTGATGTATTGTATACAACACGACGAGTACCTAATTTATAGTGTTGAATAAAATAAATATACAGTGTTTTACACTTTCATCCAATAAACTCAACCTCCACCCCCCCCCTTAAGGGTTAATCATGTATTTGGTAAAATTATAATTTTTAAAATGTATGTAATTTATGTATTATCTTGTGTTAATACGAGAACAAAGCTTTTTTAAATGAGATTTACACTTTTTTACTTTACATTTTTAACTTGATAATTTATCGATTAATCAAAATTTAAACAAGTAGTTTCTGAATTATTAAACTTAATTTAATGATAATATTCCTTAATATTGATTTTAGTTACGTATTAAATGCCTACTAAAATATATGTAATATAATATATATAATCTAGTACGTATTACACTAGGGAAATGATTTAAAATTTTCAAAATTCAATAAAGTTAAATTGATTTAAATCATTTTCTAATCATCTTAGTCTTCGTATCTTATAAACACATTATCCATGGACTATTATTCTAAGCAGTTATAGTAATTTATAGTAATTCGTAGTATTTAATGTTTAATGACTCGGAGAAACACCTACCTACTTTAAATCAAATTTCTATTGATGTATCAACATTWAAAAAAAAAAATCTTCTCCCTTAAGATTTTAACAACATTCAACATAAGGGGGATTCACATTTGAAAAAAAAATAAAGTTTTTATCTCTATCACTGGGAACTATATAATTGTGATAAAAAATGAAAGTACGAATTTGAAAATATGATCTATACTGTCTACAGTCATACATAATAATTCCAAAAATTATAGTATGAATAAAATATGTATTATCACAGAAATAAATGGCTAGGAAAATCGACATTTAAAATATCATACACACTGACTTCTGCGTTCTACTTTAAATACTTACATTTTTTCTACTGCTTAATATACATTTGAAATGAACATTATTAGACAAAATAGGATAACACTATATTTAAGTGATTGTTAATTTATTACAACGCTTGAAGAATTCTTGTTCGGTTAGTCTAAGTTGATCAAATACATGACGCTATAAAAACTGTCCGTAAATCAATTAATTTTTGTAATTACCTATAATAAGGAAACATTTTCGATGGATGCCACACGATTTATCATATTTTACTATTCCCATTGTGTMTATTGTATGGACGGTGTACCTACATTAGWTGGTGTGACGTAATAATCTGTATTGTAGTTTACATTTTTGAATAAAATAGCTGAAAGTTATTGCAAAAAAATATTTCATACTACGGAGTAATATTCATTATAACAACAAGYTGATTTTATTTCGTTAATGGATATTTATGTTCATTAGCTATAATCAAGAGTTCGCCAATATCAGTTTGTCCACGGTAAAATACCGTTTATCATTATAAAACAATAGCTAGCAGAAGATAAAACATAACGATATTATACCACCACCATAACAATATACTATATTGACCAACCGCCTACTACACTGACAGGGCACAGATATAAATTAAGCTAATCGTGGTCATTGATGTGTTATCGATTATTATTAATATTATGTACATAAACAATTTAAGTGTTTATTTTTGAGATTTAGCTCTGTACTTATACATACATACATTATGTAGTCATCGATTAGTATTTCATGTTATTGGAAAACAATAAAACGCTATTATCTAAAAAAAAATATTATCCTCCTTTTGGATATACTTACAACTATAATATAACGATCGTATACCTGYGAACTGCTTTATCGACGACAAATCGTGTAATACGTCAGTATTTTAGCATACTTAATTTTAACAGTCCATATTTTATTTTTGACTATTTTTGACGTTKATATCGACATTATGAACAACCAGTGTAACAATAAATAAATACAATGTATGCCTGGATATTTTAATTCTCGAAGAA